GGTATTACCAGCCAAACATATTGGCTACCAAACAACTTGGCTACCGACTTAATTGGTTCGGTTGGTAACATGTTAGTTGGTTCTCTGTGGTACATATTTGCCAGCCCTAATAAATATAATCTAGATCAAATAAAAAGAAAATATATGATACTAAGGGTAAGAAATGCATCATTTTTTTTCAGTTTTTTTGGCGAACTAACTAAATGAATCATTTATTAAAACAAAAATAACAAAATTTTTAAAAACTAACATTGCTGATTCACTTTTTTTACTGAATCAGATGTTGGCTCACTTTTGGAGCAACTTTAATAAGTTTCCACAAAAATGAATCATTGATGCGTTTTTTCGAATTTTTTTGCGAATCATATTATTTTTTATTATCAAATGATTAATTTTGTTGATTTGCTCAAAATCATACAAATGATGCATTTCTTAATTACCCTTACTACCAAATAAATATTTACGGGAATCATATCCTATATATTAAGTTGATCGTGTCAAATAGTTTTCTTGAACCACGGAATTATATAAAAACTAGAGTGAAGCTGGTTCTTGAATAGTTATACATGTCAAATTATGATACTGTCGTTCCCAATTCGTGACCATATCGATTAGTTGTGCATATCAAATGATGGTTAAAGGTCAAAACAAGCCCATAAATGACCAAAGAAAACGAGTTAATTTTTAGATCCTTGCATATTCAAACTTTAAAGGTTTGAAAAGTTTGACTGATTCTGTGTGTTTCTGTGTATATATGAACAACTATACTAACTTCTATTAAAACAAACCCGACCAACTCTTTCATTCACTAACACCTACTCCATTTTTCTTGCACTCTTTTTAGCATTCCTATAGACCATCAATTGAAGATTGTAAGTTGAAATCTAATATATTACACCATGGCAGCTGTTAATCAATTAGCTTCAAGCTTTTTGTGTTCCTCTTCTTCATCATCTTCGTCTTCTCGTAGAGATGTATCAAGATCTTCTATTCACTTCCCAAAGATTGGAACGAACAATCTGAGTAACCTTATCCCAAAGATCCAATCAGACATGGGTTTGGTTGAAGAAATAGATTTCTCGACATTCACACACAAGAATACGAGAAAAAACTCTAGAGCGTCTCCTGATCCTGAGGTGATGGAGAAGCTTTATGTGATATTGGAGACTGTTTCAGATCGGTTGGAGATGCATAAGAACGTTGGAGAACAAAGGAATAACTGGAACAGTTTGTTGTTAACATCTATCAACACCATTACTCTTTCAGCTGCAACCATGGCTGGCATTGCTCCTGCTATAACTACTATACCTGGTGCCCCTTTGGAAACACTTAAGCTCTCGTCTACTTTCTTGTATTTGGCCGTCACGGGGATGTTGATTATCATGAACAAGATTCAACCATCCCAACTGGCCGAAGAACAAAGAAACGCTGCAAGGTTGTTCAAGCAACTTGAAAGCCAA